AAGATAAGAAATGAAATGAACCACCTTCATGAATATTTGCCAGTTAATTGTTAATAAAAGAAAGACAAAGTGCTGTAGAATATTGAACCGGTATCCTGAAACAAAATCTCATAATATTTTGGTGTATCCACATTTGTTTATACCCCTAGAGCAGAGCACGAGGAGAATCCCTGAAAAACTCTCATGAAGTCTTAAGTCCAGCATTTGATGTTATTTTGACCCAGTAGTGGAGACCATACATCATGATATGACACTGTCAGTTACATCTCTTCACGTTTGTAAAGAAACACTTTCATCATACAGACCACACATTCTCCCAAACACACCACCAGCAGCCAGAACATTACACAGAACATTATATGGACCATTATATACATCGTCACATGTTCAATGTGCTTGATGTTATTTGGCCTTTGACTGGTTCCAGTTAAAGATCAGAGTGGATGGATGCATGTAGGAATGTATGGTTTAATTTCCTCAGACTAGACGGCTTCTGTGATTATTTTCTCAAGTGATGGGAAATGTCTGCCGTCTGTAGCGTCTGTGTCTGTTACCTTGGTTTTGTACCGATGGGAATGTGCAGTGACCGTTGACCTGACCCTGGACCTGGCTCCCCTCAGGTCCTCGCTCTGCGTACGCTCCACCATAGGCATCTTCATAACCAGGGTCATACTGCTCCTCTTTAATAGCCATCCTCTTAGCATCCTCTGTTGAATAGAAAGGGAGAACGTAACATGAATCTAGTGTCAACCTGTCAATAGCAGACAGTAGTTTCAAAAAATACCGACACACAGACTTAAATGAGACTTAAACCATTGATTACAGACGTTGTGACGACTTAAACCATTGATTACAGACGTTGTTAATGTTTCTAAACATGGTCACTGTGGATCTTACCTTTGGCCAAGCCCAAATCAAATGAATAATTGACCTCCTGGATTTCAGTTTCTTGTCTTTGGACGCCCTTTAGCTGATCTCGGAGCTCCCTTAGTTTGATGTAAAAGTGAACTTTGTCCTGAGCACGAGGAAACTGAGCACAGCGAGCACTAGATGAAGGCATCAGATAGAGCGCCTGTGGAGTGAAAAACAAATATACAGTTTTGTCACTCCATGAGCTAAAGGTTCTGCTCTGGTTTTCCAATTCCAAACTTGTGGTTTTCAATTGAAATGTGCTACTAAAATCCAACGAAATTCTATATAATTAAAGTTCTCGTTCTTGTATTTGCTTGTAAAATTTGTTTCAAGACAGTACTGATATAATGATATAACCTACTACAGTATAGTGCAAACATAGATGTTACAGTCATTCTTAACAAGCTCATGTCTCGTATTATTCACTCTCTTCAGGCAGAGAAAATTATTATACAACACGTCTCTCAGTAGAACTGTAGCTAATTTGATAATAAAAATAATAATGCATTTTATTTCATAGGCGCCTTTCTGTCACCCAAGGACACCTTACAGTGAATACAAAGGTAAACAATATTAAGTAAGTACTTTTGTACGGTACTACGTCACAAATAAACAGCCAATGAAGTGAGCTGTGATGTGTCTGATGCCTCACCACGTCACAGTCTGGGATCTTCTCTGGCTGCAAACCAAACTCCAGTTTTTTTGGCTTTTTACCAAACAGTTCTCTGCAGAACATTTCATAAATACCTGGAAAAGAAAAAAAAAACAATTCATATTTAATTTCCAAGCAAGAGAACTAGGGAACAAAAATGAATTAATGCAGTGAAACTGCTTACATTTTCCATTGAATACAGCAATGAGAGGCTTGTATTTCTTCAACTTTTCTGTGAGGATTTTGCCTCCTTCACGCAACTCTTTGCTGTTAGACAAATTAAAAAAAGGCAACATTAGAAAAACAACACAGCTGGATCTCAAAGCCATCATCTGATGAAGCTTCACAACAACAATGCCTCTCAATACTTCACCTGCTGAGGTCTTTACTTCCTGGTGTCGCCCTCTCCACCATGTTGGTGAAGCCCATCTTGTACTTGGTTGGCAGGGTGGTGTCATGCATGTGGTTGAGCTGCTCTTCAGTAAATCCAGACAGAAATAAGCACTTCCCTGGGATTAAAAGGTAAACAGTCATTTCTGCAACCCTTTTTCCATTCAATACACCCAGTGTGTTCAAATCAAACTTAGTTTTCTTTATATAAAAAAAGACGTCTTTCTTATATTGACAATAGAAAACATCCTTAATTTTCTCTGTTTATGTTTTTTTTTTAGCACAAAGTGTAAAGTCCATGAAGTAAGAATGTGTTTCGTGTGTTTGGCTATTGAAATTAAATTCAATAAGCTTTTCTGTTTATCTATTTACTTTCAGTAACAGTGAAATTAAAATATTACTGATTTTATTTTCATATCACTTACAAAAATGATTTCCAGGTCCAGGGAACCATCTTCCAATGAAGGCAGCCATTAGTCCTGGATTGATACCGATCTAAAAGAGAAAAGTCACATGTCTTTGCTTCAGAATCATGGGACAGTGCTTCAGTTGGACATTAAAAAAAGAAGAAAAAAAATCGTACAATGACATAATCTAAGTTGTAGTCCAGCAGATCTGGTAAAGTTTTTTTCATGACTTCCTCCTCTGACATTCCCTTGAAGCGATCAACTTTCCTCTTCACTTTTTTAAAGCTCTCATCAATTTTCTCCTGCTTTCCATCTGCCTGAGCTTCTTTGCCCTTCTTCGGTTTAGGGCCTGGTTTGGCTTTCGGTGCATTTGGGTCCTTAGGCGGCTTTGGTGGCTTTGGTGCCTTGGGTACTTTTGGAGGTTTGGGTGCCTTAGGTTCCTTGGGTTGAGCCTGCCTGCCTCTCTTTTTGGCTGGAGCTACAGAGAGACAGCAAGATATATTGTAAGCTAAGATTCACTATACATTACTTTTCATGTCTGTTTAAATTGTTGTTTAAATGGTGTAAAAACACTAGTAGCATACGTAAATAATTTATTATTGTTTTCTGCTAGGGGCCAACACTTAAGAACAAACAAAAAAATTAAAATTGCATTACGTTTTGTCAGATCAGCAGGTTCCTGTTGATGCATCATAGCATCAGGATGAGCCATGTGTGCCATGGCTGCCTCTCCACTATCTGGAATCTCTGGATATTGAAACTGATGGTTGGAGTTGAAGCCTGAATATTGTGCCTGGAGAGCGTGGAACTGCTGGGCAGACTGAACCCTGTGAAAAGGGAAGAATACATGGGGGAAAACATAATACCGATTAAACTAGATCTAGAATTTCATTACTAAATGTACGTAAATGTTACGTCTGAGGGCCTAAATTAACAGTGGAAACCCTTTACAAACTCCAGACTTTAACATCATATAAAAAAACACTTCATAACAACTTGTGGACAAAATGAAAAAAAAAATTGAAGTAAATGTTATTTTGTAATGACGTGTGTTGACCAAAACGGTGTTGAGGCACTGCAGTTACCGAATGCCTGGTCTTGTTGAACTGAAGACTTTTTTCTTTTCTTTTTTTTTAAGTTTTATGAAACTACTCAACCAGACAGTCATGGGTTTGGGCAGACTGATCTGCACAGACAAATTCCTAAAACAATATTTTAATAACTTTACTCCCAGACAAAAATGATCTTACAAAAAAGCTTCAAAATCTTGAATCTTCTTTACATTGACCTACTGAAAACATGTGTGTTCCTTCACAACCATACAACTATTTTAGTTAACTGTTGAAAATTAATACTCTTTCACATGGACAACAATGTTGTCCATATTTTTTAAATTTGGGAACCTGTGTGCACCCTCGTGCTACAGTCACATGCAGCCTCTTATTGTTGACCATAAACTACTAGAACTGTAGCAAATTGTTACTGACTTAAAAACTGGTCAACTGGTTTCAAGCAGATACTGTACAATATTTGACATTGTATAGAGAATGTAATACAGATCATGGACCACATGTATTTTACAAGTTGTTTATATTCAATTTTAAACAATTTAAACCTGGTAAAACAACTTACCATTCAGCTTGTTATATACAAAGAACAACACAAAATCTTTGTGCGTATGATTTATTGTTCATAAAGTGGGTTTTAAATACAAAAAGAAATCAAAAATGATTATCACAAAAGATGGGACTGTGTTAAGAGTTGTAAATACTAGTTCCGTGGTGTGAAAACCAAGGACGGAACCAAATGATGGATGAAACAAATGTGAAAACTGTGCACGTGCCTTAATTTTATTTTCATCACACTTTGCCATTTCAGAGCCTTTGTGCTATAATCACACGGTGGTGAGGAAGAAAACTCACCACTGATGAAGATACTCCGGGGAGACAACAGGCAGTGATCCGTTCAGCTTTTCTTCCATCTTTTTTGGGGGGGTGGTTTGACTTATTTTAAAATAGGCCAATCTGCGTGGTGGGTGATGTACAGGGGGTTTAGAATCTGGCAGTGTGAGAAACTGAACGCATGTGACGGAGTCTTTAAAGCAAGATGTGCAAACAACAACAAAAACGATGGCAAATGAACCAAACTGAAAGAAATCTATATAAAGATGCAAAACTGATGAAGCCAGGCTGTGTTTTAAAAGAGCACCGCATATCAAAAGTACAAGGAACCCGTTTACATGTTTCCTTCCTGAGGCTATGCTAACAATCTACAATCCCGATTAAAACTAGTATAAAATGGGGGAAAACTTAATCAATCATAGGTCTAGTTAAAGCTAACTTTAACCTATCTAACCTCACGTAAAGGCCGATAATAAGTTTATTGATACAGAAAGATTGCCACAGCTGCTGCTAACATTAGCCAACAGCTAATAGCTAAGCTAATTTAGCATGAATGAATGGTTTAATTGGCTTAAACTCCTCAACTAAAAAACCTGAGACACACAGAGAACACTGCTGGAGATGTCAAACGTACCTGGTGATGTTATGGTTTAAAACTGCCGCCTTTACAGAGTTAAAACTTATTTTCCCATTTATTCTTTTTTCTATTGACAATAGTGGTGCAACAAAGACATGACAGCGGTGCTGCTCAACTGTGACACCGGAACAGTTCGTTTCTGAGTTGTAGGGGTGTTAGAAGTTAAATTCTGGACATTATTATTCTTATGTGACATAATTCTTACTTTTTTACCTACCAATATTAATATAAAACAAGATAGAGTTTTTATTTATATATATGTAAAACTTTTTTTATTACTATTTCATCATGTTATCGCCACCCACAGTCGTACACCCCTATAGATTGAATTGGTATGAGCTGCACGGCTTTTAAACTCTTCGTACTTGTTTCCTATTGGCTCGTTCTGTGTCACGCTGGCAGGTTAGTGCATATAGTTTATTTATCTATTTTCAGAACAGTACTGCAGCTCATACGTATAAATTGAAGTTTGAAGTCACTAAAAATCCCCATGTTGATGAAAATAATTACCTCACAGATGTTCAGCTGATACCACTAAATTTTCGAGCTCGGGCTAAATAAATTTCATAAATGCTACAGCTTAAAGGAAATTTAATAACACATTACATATTCAATATTACAAATCCAGTTATACAACTGCTTATTAAAAAACAAATGTAAACTTTCGACATACAAAAATAAGCCAATGAACACAAGTACCACATACAGTATATTCAATAAATATTGATTAAAAAAACATGCACACACTCTTTACAGTCGGTTGCTTTTTTTTGTGCGTCACGTGCGGCTCCTCTTTTCTTCATCACTATGTTTCTCATTCTCACTTTTAGGTCAGTTCAGCTGCTCTCTGTGGAACCACCTCATCCAGCTACTGGTTCCTGAAAACATCACATTAAAAATAAAACAAGGTGAGTACATAAACATATATACTGGACTTTTTTGTACAAAACACTACATCTTATTTTAAATTTTAAATGCTGTTATATTTCCATACTTGCTTTCTCTCTCCCTCCCTTCCTCTCTCTCTCATTTAATTTAAACCATTCAATTTGTGCATTACCTTTGTGCCATAAAAGATGGTCTGGTTATTCTCAACTTCTGTCACTTCAGTTGGAAGCGTTGCTACTGTGCCTCACATCTTCATGCAGACCACTACAGCTTTCATATTCTGGATCCACCTGCTCCTCTTTGATTGCCATCCTCTTAGCATCCTCTGTAGATCACATCCAATCAGAAATGAGACAGGATATTCACATATAAAAATGTTGTAAACATGACTAAGCTATACATATGGTTTCACAATTACGCTCTACCTTTAGCTAACTGGAGATCGAAGGAGTAGTTTGTCTCCAACACGTCACGACCTGGTACAAGGCCTTTGATCTGGTCTCTGAGTTCTTTCAGTTTGATGTAAAAATGCACCTTATCCTGTGCACGGGGAAACTGAGCACAGCGGGGACTTGAGGAAGGCATTAAAAAACACACCTAGGTGGAACAAAATATGGTTTGAGGACTGCTGCTCCTGAATGTACTGTATACAAGGTATAATTAAAGGTATAATTAAAGAACGTCATACTGTTTCAGTCTCTGGGATTTTGTAGGGCTGCAGACCAAACTCCAGATTCTTTGCCTTGACACCAAATGTTTCTTTACAAAATATTTCATAAATACCTGCCAGAAAGAGAAGATGGCTAAGAATCCTAGAATCAGTTGACAATATTATTATTAGCACAATGATTTCAATTACCTTTGCCATTAAATGCAGCAATTAATGGCTTATACAGCTGCAGCTTTTCTAGTAACTGCCTGCCTCCTTCACGAATCTCCTTGCTGAAAGAATAAAAAGATCTTTTAATGCTTTGCGTCGGCTGATGACACTGCAAAGTTTACAGGTCCTCATTAACAACTTGAAATAAGTTTGGCAAAATTTGTGATGTTATGAATCCCACAAACATTTAATAGTTGAAACTATTAAAACTGGATTGTAACTCATCAATAAATATACCCCCCTCCTTACTTAGAAAGGTCTTTGCTACCGGGTGTGGTCCTCTCTACCATGTTTGTGAAGCCGATGCCGTATTTCTCTGGCAGGCTCTGATCATGCATGTAGCTCAGCTGCTGGTCAGTCAGACCAGAAAGAAAGATACATTTCCCTGGTAGATGAAGAGAGTTTCGAAATACATTTACACGATGAGAATGATGGGATGCCAGAGCAGCAGACTTAACCATTAGACATGAGCTGTTGAGTTTCATATTGTTATAACAACTGTCTATTTTACACATTTCTCCCTTTGCATCACTGCGATTATGTCAACGTACAAACAGAAATATTCAAACCCAAGACACCATTTTTAGATATAAAGCTTGATTCCATTGATATTATTTTAATGGAAATATGTGAATTGGAAACATTCTAAGATGCATTAAAACTGTTAAGATAATGGACACACAATGTCCAAAAGCGTAGAATGGGATAGGAATCCCTATTGGTCATTCATATGAGACATTCAGTTATATTTGAACATACAGAAATGGTTTCCTGGGTTTGGGTAATGGTGTCCTTTGTAGGCTGACATTAGTCCTGGATTAATTCCAATCTGAGGAGAAACATGGGGGAGGGTTATCATGGCAGTGGATGAAAAAAAAAAACCTTACTTCACGTAAGAGTGTTAAGTGTAATGGTCTCAGACAAGCAGAAAGCAGTAACCAAGAAAATAACTTACAATTAAAATATCCAGACTGTAGGTAATGACATCTGGCAGGGTTTTGGCCATGACCTCAGCCACTGACATGCCATTGAAGCGGTTGAGAATCCTTTTGGCCTTCTTGGCTGCCTCAGCCTGATCTTCCTCCTCCTCTCCTGGCATTGCACTTTTCTCAGCCTTCGAAGGGCGACCCCTTTTTTTCTTAACTGGAGTAGAGGCTGAAGGAAATCAAAGGAATGAACATGTTAGGTTATCACTGTAACAAGTAAAAAAACAGAAAGATCCTTGAGGGTAGATTTACAAGCAAATTATTGGTTTGTTAAACAACAATCATTGCCTTAAAGTTTCCTAATTTTAACTCAGCCATTTTAGACAATGGTGTTTCTCGTTGATTGACGTTTTGCCCTACATTTACTACATAAGACTAAATATTCTTTAATGAGTAGAATTAATATGACTGTCAACATCTCAGTTACCTTGGGGTGGAGCTACAGGCTCAGACTGGATATTAAAATCTTGCTGCTGCTCCCAATCATTATATTGATACATCTGCTCTTGGTAGTGATTTGGGCCTGCTGGGTAGTTCTGGTAAGACGATTCCTGGTAAGGGGGCGGTTCCCAGTGGACTGAAGGGTCGGATAAGACATTCTCAGTTTCGGAATCTTCGATGAAATTGGTCATGTTGTGATACTGCATCACATACTGTTCGTCTCGGTGCTGCTGAGTGTACTGGTACCTGTGAATATAAGAATAGATCCGTAGAAAGAAGTCAATGTATTCATTCACTGTGTTTTATTAACTGATTTTTACACTTTTTATGTTTTTATGTATTACATTACATTACCCAAAGCAATTTATATTCTGTTCTCATTTTCGTAAACCTGACCCTTATCACCATCTCACTCTGAATTTAATTTAATTTACTCAATAGTCGCACACAACAAATAAATGTTAATAGCGTTACCACCTGGAATAAATTGGTATTTTGTAAACACGATTTTGGAAGATCTTGAATTAGCAGCTGACTGCAGCTGACAAAAAAAGGATAAAGGCCAGAAAAAGGCCATAAGCCCTGAATCCACTGTTACAGATGAGTAGTTTACCATTAACCATAAGATCGACATTAAAATAAAACATACCTGTCGTACATTTTGTCTTTTTTAAAGCAGGCGATGCGTTCACTGGAATTTTATCAAAACAAAAGATCATTTAAACGGCAGACAAATGTCTTTGCTCAGAATGTGTGATTGCCACCTATCGGATAGGAGGTGTATATGCAGTCAAATATAAGTAGAGGTTTTGCATGGAAACGCTGAAACTACGGGCTACGACGTTATTTAGATTTTTAGATATATTTAGATATTTTGCATAGTGACAACATTTGTTTATGTAGATGTATATTCATGTATGTAACAACATGACTTGAAAGACATTAACAACACTGTTGTCAGAAATTTCCGGTCAGAAGCATATTAACAACTCACTGGTTTTACAGATTGGTATGAACCAAGATAACATTGTGTTGATATTGTATGTATTCTATATCAACATTATACTCTATAATAGATATTAAATTAAATATTAAATATTAATAGGTATGGTACGCGATAGAAAAACAGTACTCCTCCTGCCCATAGATGGCAACAAAGGTCGTATGTAACGCTGCGTCAACACCAATTGACACCATAGAACAGAACAAAGGCCAAAGATGGTTTAAAGCTGTAAATGATATCACTACGCAGTAGAAAAAAAGACGACCTACTCAAAATACACACCAACAGTGTGAAGAAAATGCCCCTGTACAATGATGTTTGTATAATGGACGTTTCAGTTTTTACGATTTACATATGGTAATCTGTTATAGATACTCACAATGTATAGCAAACAACTATTTAATACAGACGTCGATTTCAATTGATTGAATTGCACTAAAATACTGTACACATATCTAAAATATAATCAAAATGGTGTCTTAAATGATTATTGCGTTTTTAAAAGCTCTGACACGTAAGGCACTTTATTCAGATATCTAGATAAACGTGATAAACGTGAAACTTAAACCTGTTGTAGTCCCTGTGATATGATGCGGAGTGAGACCTCTGTATTTTCTCTCCTTGTTAGCAAAACACGAGCAGCATGACCCGTGTGACACTTGATTTAAAGACAAGGCAAGATTTTGTTTAGTTTCACCAATGCTCGTTTGAAGATCCATAAGGTAGACGAGGTAAGGTCTTTATAGTTTAATTTACATCCTTAGTACCTGTCTGCTGCCCTGCTGTTATTGTCCATTCTTCTACTTTTGAATGCAGTAGATGTTGTAACAGTGGCAGTAGTTGTCACTTTGGATGTAATTGTGATTAAACAAAACAACGTATGCCTGAAAAAACCTTATATTTTAGTATTAGTAATTAGTAAGTATTTTAAACCTTCATTATACTGCACAAATGTAATTGTAATTGTTATTGTGACCTAGCATGTATGGGATCTGCTGTATTTTGAATTATGGGATGGACAGTGTGACGGTTTGACCATATGTATAGTGCGATTTATTTGGTAATATACAACATTTATCTATAATACATAATATTTTTTTGCATCTGTTCCCTGTTACAAGGTAGAGGGCGTCAGTTAAGATGCCAGCTGGTGTGGCCTGGCCTCGGTACCTGAGAATGCTTGGTGCCAGTGTATTGGCCATGTTTGCAGGAGCACAGGCTGTGCATCAGTACTACCAACCTGATCTGGTAAGGGACACAACTTTACATCATTTAAATCGTAATGCTCCTTTCTAATTTTAAGAAGGATAATAAACTCAAAAGGCACAAAGGCATTGTCACTTGCTGTGCTGTAAAGATGCCTGAAGGTTTGTACCTAATACTAAGTTATGGATATTCATATGTCGTTTGAAAATGTTTTGTTTATTTACTCTTATAGGTGGTTTATTTGTACGTGTTTTTTTTTTTGTTTTTTTAGAGTATACCAGAGATCCCACCAGAGCCAGGACAGCTTCAAACAGAACTGCTGGGTCCCAAACTCAGACAAGAAATTGTTGCTGCTGCTTTGGAACGGTTCAGAGAAAAACAAAAAGAAGACTCACATTTAATTGTACATCCACAATTAAAATGACACATCAAGTTGTCAAGAGTTTGGATGAATTGAATGGAATGGAATTTTCCTCAATTTAGAGTAATTTCCCAAACCATCTGTAAACATGTCTGCTCTACATTTGCTACTTTTTCTCTTAATCATGACATAAAAGAGGAAAATCCAACAATGGTTTAATTGAAATGCGCTTTATTTTGATTACTTTCTTTTTGCTAGCATTTTAGCCTGTTTGGGTATATACATGTGAAGTGATGAACTATATAAATAAACAGAAAGAAAAGTAAAAAATGTATTAGTAAAGATTTTCTAATTAAAATTTATTTGGTTTTGACAGAATCCCACTAAGCTCCCAGTTGTTTAAACATCCATCCGTTTTACTACTTTGTCTTTAGTTTCTATGACAACTGTCTACTACTGTCCCCTTCTGGTCATTTTCTTCCTCTTCTTTGTATTTTTAAGCCTGGTCGTGAAAAAAAACAGCTTTCACCTTTTTGCCTTTGATCTGCCCATCAGTAAAAATCAAAGACACTCAAGTTATTGTGAATCTTGGATATTTAATATTTCCACATTGAATAGTATTTACTTCAATGTGCAAAAAAATATATGCACCTTAAACTACTGTAAAAAAAAAGTAAACCGAATTTAAGGGGAAGAGGCAAAGATGGCTACTCAAAAAGAAAAAGAGTCATCTGATTATCTCAAAAGGCACAAAATTATTGAGCTCATGGACAATCTGACTAGCATGCTGTTCTTTTACAGACCCGGTGAGTGATGGTTTCTTTTTTTTTATTTTAAAAAGTGAGATTTTGAGTCACTGATCTCCCCCCTTTAGTTCTGCATTATACAGTATCTCAATGTATCTCAACAATGGTTGGACAGCTGTCAACTAATCTGTTGACAGCTGTCCAACTATTGTATCAAGTAAAGATAAAAACTTGGAAAAGTAATTAGAAAAAACATTCTAAAAATAATAAAATTAAGGCCAAACTCTTGTTTGAATATCTAACGTTGAAGTTCATGCTAGATAAAATCGCTCAATGGCCACTTCATTAGGTACAAGAAGGAGGTCGCTCTAATCTCTCAGATTCAACACTTTAATCACTGTATTGATGTATTTCCTTTGGGGTCTATCCATTCACCCAGAGAACCCCAGAGAGTTTCTCATCAAGCAGCTGGAACAGTTGAACATTTCTAAGCAGACTGGTGAAAAAAGACCTAATTTGTTCAATAGCTCCAACCTGGATGCAGTCTTTGGAATACTGGACCCTACAAATCAGAAATACATCACTTTTGCTCAGTACAAACAAGGTGAGAACAGGACATCTAGTGGACAAAAGTTGATATTACTTTAGGCCATGCTATTAGAGGATATATAGTTATGTTTCTCTTAAATGTTTTATATTTATATTTAGTGCATCAGAACACTATACTAGAAGGTCATCTCGAGGATAATTTCAACTACAATCTGATTTTTATGAACCACGTTTTCACAGCTCTGATCACACTGGGTATAAAAGACATTAATGACAGTCCTGAAGGTGTCGATGAAGACAGAATATCCCATGAGACTTTCAAAAGAGAAGCGTAAGACTAGCTCAGAGTCTCTCTAAACAGATGATATTTACTTACTCCTAAATGAAATTCTTTAAGTTGTATATATTTTTTGTTTTTGCAGGATGCAAGGTCTGGAGAAATGTTCAGCGACATTTGAACACCTGTGAAAACTGAAGCTTTAGTCTTAGTCTTTAGTCTTTTTTTAATTTAAAAAAATCCATATATTTCTGCAGAAGTGCTTACATATATTTCCAACGTATGGTGTAGACGGTAGCGACGTGGAAAGAATATCGTATCTGTAGCCATTGAATTGAGACAACCAATTGAGACGCGGCTGGTATCATAGCAACGAGTGTAAACAAACATAAAGCCAGAAGATGGAGACGCAGAGAGAACAAGATGCTGCAGATTATCTAAATAAACACAAAATACTCGACCTCATGGACAATCTGACCAGCATGCTCTTCTTTTACAGACCAGGTTAGTGACTGTTATTGTAAGGAACAGGAAAAGGAATCATCCTGGTCAGGCATTCATTTACACTTTTCAAACTTTTTGGATGTGTGTTTTTGTTAAAATTGTGTGTTGTTATTTTGTTTACATAAAAAAATTCAGATATTGTTAACAATCAAATTTGGTATTCTTCAAAAAAATAAACCAGATAAAAAACACACTAAAAAGCTTTCCATGACATTTTATTTCATTATAAAAAGACTTATTTGTGAGTGGAACGGGGTTTTTTTTTCCAATCAGAGAACCCTAGAGAGTTTCTCATCAAGCAGCTGGAACAGCTGAAGACTTCCAGAGAAAGTGGTGACACTGGACCAAATCTGTTTGACAACTCCAACCTGGATGCAGTCTTTGGAATACTGGACCCTGTTAATCAAAAACACATCACATTTGCCCAGTACAAACATGGTGAGCTGAAGCCTAAAAATATTCACGGTTAAAAAACAAATGTTATTGGTAAATTTCCAAAAATCCAAGTTTAAAAAAACAGTGGTTTGTGTTTAAATAAATATAAATTTAGGTCAAATATTCTAGAAGAATACAAACGATTTATATTTGTTTTCACAGCTCTGATCACACTGGGCATAAAGGACATTAATGAGTGTCCTGATGGTGTAAATGAAGACAGAATATCATATGAGACATTCAAAACAGAAGCGTAAGGCCAGTTTTTATGATTCAAAATGTTTAACTAAAGACAATTTCAAAACTTTTAATTTTCTTTTTTTTTTTTAACAGGGTTCAAGGTCTACAGAGATGCTCAGCCACATATGGACCTCTCTGAATTATAAAGCTTCAAATGACTTGGCTGATATTTATGACAGACTTTTACTCAGTGCATGTTGTACCTGAGTCTAAGCTGTCAAACACTTTAAGAAAATTACCAAAACTAAAAATGTCTCACAGTAAAAACAAGTATCCACGACACAGACACATCGTTTTACGTCAAAATATTGCCTTGAAAGAATATGGTGCCACTAGCAGTTTTATATTAAAAAGAGAACCCGGATAGTTTTGCCGCAGTCCTGCAACTGTGAAACGGTCCCAAACATTTTGCGGCCTTGAAGTGTTGTACGTACCCCGGGAGTGGGCGTGGTCAAAACTAACATGGCCGCCTCCTTTTACGGACTGACAACTGTAGTGCCTTTCTCTGGTTACTCGTGGATTTAAGTCGGTTGTTTGTTTTGATAAATTTCGCCCACATTTAACAGACTAACACCGTAAGAAGCTCAGCATGGGCACCGTCCACGCCCGGGTAAGAGAACGAACAGCCAGCGTGTCTGCCATGAGTGTGACCTCTGTCTGTGTCAGTGTGTTCTTTCGGTTACGAAGCCACTGTCACAGGCTGTTCATTCAATAACAAGAGAGCAATTAAACAGACACTTACCAACAATTAGAAGAGCGTAACAAGTTTTATGTTAAACGCGGTCATTTTCTTTCAAACTATTGACCATTGGCTGTTCTCTCTATAGTGAAATACAATGCTGTGACGTCAGATGGAAACGCCGCTACTGCATTATTTTATTTATTACGCTGTATTAACAGACTGGCGTAAGCACATCTTAATCTAAATACAACATGTAACAAGATGAAGAAGAAGTAGATAAAGCAATATAAATAAATATATAATGTATTCAAGAATATTTTCATTGTCCTTTGCTTTAAATGAATATATATTTGTAAATGTCAGCATAACAGAGATAATCATTTGTCATTGGGAATAAAAAGACAGATTCTTTAGCATTTTTACATTTTTATTCATAACATTGACTGAAGAAAAAGTAGTATTTGCTAGTTTTATGTGTATATGTGCTGCTCCAGACCTCTAATGTTTGTAACGTTTTTGTTGCAGAGCCTGGACCCTCTGCCCATGCATGGGCCAGAGCTCGGAGTGCAAGCTGACGACATTGAGTCAGCGCACATTGAACCAGAGCCCAATCAGGAGGTTCTTGAAAACAAAGATGTACGTTTTTGGATTATGAACTATGTCATCGATTAGTTGTCCTACTTCTCACAAACGTGTTGTTTTTTAGGTTGTGGTTCAACGGGTGCACATAGACGGCCTAGGAAGAACCAAAGAGGATTTGTTGACCTACGAAATCGCTGATGTTTTCCGGGCAAAAAACTTGATTGATGTAGGTGCACGTGTAAATTGTAAAGGCAATGTAAAACATTCTGTTTATTTTAAGAGTTGTGTTAGATATGAGTCCATAATTAGCAGCTTACACACAGCTGATAGCACACGACACATTCCTTGTACTGAAAAAAGCAGGAAATGCTCAGTGAAAACAAAGGTACAGGCATGAAAGGATGCTTTTCACTGATCCCAGTTAGCTTTATTTAAGGCAGTGACATTGTGTATGCTAATTCTCTCCTTCAGGTACATTTAAAAATGAGCACCTATTTTGACATTTTTTTAAATAAAGAGTGTGTTTCAACTTTTGGTGCAGGTGATGAGAAAGTCCCATGCAGCTCGACAGAAGCTGTTGCGTCTTGGGATCTTCAGAAAAGTTGAAGTTGTCATTGACACATCCCGAGGTAATTTGTATGTGTGGTAAACAAGTGCTTCATAGTGTAGAGCAGAATTCTCTGTATGAACTGTGAAACAATGTTATTGATTTTTAATTTTATGTCCTAGTGTTTATAGGAAATGCATGTTTTCATCCTGAGCCTGAATAAAATCTGACTGTTTTATGTGTATATAAATCTGTAGAAAATGAGGCCTAGATTGCTATTATGGGTAAAGATTTATTTCTGTAGTATGAAAGAAACTGGATTTTTGACATATGGGTTTATTCACCCGTTTCTCCTTTTTCTTCTGTTTAGGTGCCGATGCTCTTCCTAATGGCCTCGATGTGACTTTTGAAGTCACTGAACTGAGACGACTGACAGGCAGCTACAGCACCATGGTTGGAAACAATGAAGGAAGCATGGTGAGCAGGATAATGAATGTCACCAGTTTCACTCGGAACATGAAAGCCACATATTTGTAGTCAGAAAGTTTCTACAGTTAATCTATTAACTTTGAGTTCAGATTTATTTTGAAAAGATGTGGAAAATTGCAATGTTTTTTCTATGTGACTAAGTTATAATATCCATTTAACTTACAGGTGATGGGTTTGAAGTTACCTAATGTATTCGGGCGTGCTGAGAAACTTACATGTCAGTTCTCATATGGCACTAAAGAGACATCGTATGGCGTCTCCTTCTTCAAACCTCAACCAGGAAACTTTGAACGCAAGTAATATATGAGCAGATTTATACATTTATTTGACATTTTTAATTCATTTTGAAGTATGTGCACAAATACCTATAGATGGATGTAGATTAAAATGGTTCTAAAATGCGGCCCTTTGTTTTCAGCCTCACTTTTAATGCCTACAAAGTCACAGGTCAGTTTCCATGGAGTTCTCTGAGGGAGACAGATCGAGGCATCTCTGCAGAACTGAGCGTAAATATTTGTTTGTTTCCATTTTACCTGCTGTTACATGTGTTACTGATTTCATAGACTTTAGCAGAACTCTTATTTTTTCATGTTTTTCAGAAACATAAAAATTAAGTTTGTGCATCACTTATTGCATTAGAGTTGCACAATTAACCATTTATTTTCCATAGTTCCCATTGTGGAAGACCAGTCAGACACTGAAGTGGGAAGGAGTATGGAGAGAACTAGGCTGCCTGGCTCGCACTGCCTCGTTTGCCATCCGAGAGGAGAGCGGACACTCCCTCAAGTCCTCACTTTCGGTATTTGTCTGATATTTTACATGAGCTTTGTTTTTCATATTTAAAATAATATGACATCCTTTTACCTCCTTTCATTTTATAACTTTGTGCAATATTATTACTATTTATTAACTATCAATTATTTCTTTCAGCATTCTATGTCCATTGACACCAGGAATTCCTCCATCCTTCCCAGGAAAGGTGGTTTGCTGAAGATCCACCAGGTTTGTTATTCACCTTCAGATCAGATTATAAAATTTGACATGAGAACAGTAACGTCCTTAAGTGAATCATGTTTTAAAAAATAGGAACTTGCTGGCTACACTGGGGGAGACGCTAGTTTTCTGAAGGAAGACTTTGAGATCCAGCTCAACAAGTCACTTTTCTGGGACTCGGTAAAAACATACTGTATATTTCATAATCGTTAAATGTTTCACCAATGAATCTTTTTGCAAGTCACCAAATCCCAAACTAATGAGCTTGTAATATTATTTTTGTAAACAATGTAGTAAACAACAACTTTGATTGTAACTGAAGTTTGTCTTCTTCAGGTCCTTTCTGCCTCATTGTGGGGGGGGTTACTTCTACCCATCGGTGAAAGGGCAACAAGCATAGCAGACAGGTACAGATGTATTGCTGACAGTAAATATTATTAAGCAGTATTCTGCTGTAAGTTATGGAGAATGTATTATTACTGACTTTTCACATTTTTGTTTTAATAAAACCTGGAGAACTACAAGTTGTGTTATTTTAATGAACATTTGTATTTTGGCATTTCCTTCCAGGTTTTATCTGGGTGGTCCCACCAGTATCAGAGGGTTCAGTATGTACAGTATGGGCCCACAGAGTGAAGGTGAGATACACACACTGCTTTGTAATCAGACTGTAGTTTGTTGTCTTATTGCAAACTTGTGTGTTGTATTACTGGAATGGCAGGTGACTACCTGGGTGGAGAGGCCTACTGGGCCGGAGGCCTCCACCTCTACACTCCTCTCCCATTCAGACCAGGCAAGGGAGGCTTTGGAGACCTCTTTAGAACACACTTCTTCCTCAATGCCGGAAACCTGTGTAACTTGAACTATGGTGAGTTATTTGGATAGGGACAGGGTGTATCTAACTTTGTATCCCAGACTTGACTAATTCATTTTGTCTTTTTTTCTTTAGGTGAGGGGCCACAAGCACATTTGAAAAAACTGGCAGAATGTATCCGTTGGTCATATGGACTGGGTGTTCTTCTGCGTTTGGGAAACATTGCCAGGCTGGAGTTGAATTACTGCATTCCCATGGGAGTCCAAAGTGGCGACAGGTAGGTTAGGGGTTAGGTTTAATAAGGGTCTTTTTAAATACTCTAATTTTAAATAGACAGAGTATCCTTGATAGTCAGTGGTAAAAAATAGACTGTGATATCAGATATATGTTTTATTTACTAACATTTCTCTCTGTTTTTCTCACCTGAATATATATATATATACACATACAATTTAGATAAATGCTTAAACCTGTTTCTCTTGTCCTTTCAGGATATGTGATGGGGTCCAGTTTGGAGCGGGAATCAGATTTCTTTGAAGGCACTTTTTCTCTGCACTTAGCTCCCTAATGTTATGCCAGTTCTCACTGTTAATGTCATGCCTGAAACATTGTGTAAAAGGGATAATTTCTTGTATGGAATTACTGTTGCATCCTATTGACTCAATAAAAAGTTTGCACATTTTATTTTTTATCCATATCTTTTTTATTTGTAAGAAGGGACACATACAGTTATAAGTAAGGTTTAAAATATTTATGTCTTTTCATGTTACAAAATTAAACAAACACCATGGGAAACAATAACATCAAATTAAATTCTATGTCCCCTCACTGTACCTGGTATATTTACTAGTAAAAATGTACACTTACTGTACATAGCACCCTAAGTGGTTTACATTTTTGGATGTAATGGTATCAACTGACAAATTTTGATGAAAAACTAAGTTTTCCTATTCCCAGACTTGTTTTGTTTTTAGTGTCTTAAATATTCAAATTTTTTCCTATTGGCAGTCATGGGTTCCAGACGGTCCGCCTAAGCAGTTTCATTGCGCATCAGTTTTGAGCTGATTGTAGTCACGTGGTTAGTGTGGCACTACGCAGTTCGTCAAATATGCGCATGTGCAGTGTAGAATGTTCCGTAGCATTTCACGCTCTTAGCCCGAAAGTGTTGCTGCGAAGCCGACGTTGGGGGTGTTCATTTACGGGCTTGTCTAATTTTTACTCCCCGTCCTCTTCTCCCAGAACGCACTCCTTTGTAAAACACGGTCGGTTGTGTTCCAGTCTCCTGAAAGCTGACATTAAGTCATAGGAGTGAGTTTCCTCTTTGTATTTTATTTAAATTGGCGGTCTGGTTAAAGAGCGGCAGACACGCTGATGGCGGTCACCATTGAAGACCTGTACCGTAACTACGGGATCCTCGCTGACGCTAAGGACGACCTCAGTAAGGTAAGTTACCCAAGGCTCCAGTATGTCCACAGATATAAACCATTGTTCAGTTTGCGTTGTATCCGCGTCCCTTAGTTACAACTTGTGTGCTTGTGTTGATAGCCTGCTAAGCTATCTAGCTAGCACAGAAACTGGCCCAACGGCTTTAGCCTTTCAGTGGTGACCCGCAGGACACACAGTCCTCACTTGACCCTCCATGTTTATGGAGGTTCTTTTTCTGTATTTAATTTCATTAAATATTTTCCGTTGTCTTGCATAGATATTACGAAGCACAGTAAACGATGAACGAAACAAGCTTCATACTGTAGCTCATTGATGTAATCACTGAATTCCTTTCAACGGGACAATAATACCGTATTATCCATTTGTTTGTGATATATATTTCGATTTTGACCAAATCGCTAAAAAGAAATTGCTGAAGTTATGAAAACGGATAATTTTAGCTGTTTCTTCGTATGTATGTTATTTTAATGACCCGAAATTGAATAAATAAACTAAACTGATAATATATCTTCTCCAGACCCAAGGCTGCAACTACAAATAATTGTATTTGACTCTTCTTCAATTTCGATAATCAAAATCAAAATCAAAAATAAAATCGTTAAAGTGGAGTGATTCTGCTAAATATAAATGGGTGTTGTAAAATTGTGTAGAAAGTGTCTTTCTGCCAATGAAACTTTTTTACATATGAAATGTCAGGTAAACATGAATAAAAACATGAAACTTGTAAAAAAAAATCAGGTAAACATGAATAAAAACATGAAAAAATATATATATGGCGGTAATTAATGCCCACTTGAAAAATCAATTCACACCATAAAAAAACCACAAGAGTAAAAAAGAATTTAAAATGTTCCAAATTTACGTTTTCGTTTGTTTTTGTTGTTTATCATGATTGTTGTCCCGCCACTACTGTAATCTTAAATGTTTAAATAGATTTATTCTTCTATTTCAAAGCACAAGGATGCGTACCAAGTCATTTTGGATGGTGTAAAGGGTGGTCCAAAAGAGAAGCGCCTGGCAGCACAGTTTATTCCCAAGTTCTTCAGCAGCTTTCCGGAACTGGCAGATGCAGCAATAAATGCTCAGCTTGATCTCTGTGAAGATGAAGATGTGTCTGTGAGTAGTTACCAACTTCATCCATTTATTCACATTTGATAATACAGCTGTAGGGTGTGTCTTGATTGAAACCTAGAATTCCTCTGTGCCTTCAGTATTAATTTGTTTTCCTTTAACATCTGTATGTATTTGTATTTGTTTGTTTTTATTCTGCAACACCTCTACATCTATGTCTACTAGATTCGGAGACAGGCCATCAAGGAACTTCCACGATTTGCAACTGGTGACAACATCCCTAGAGTTGCAGATATTCTCACTCAGCTTCTACAGACAGGTATTGATTCTGTGAATCAGTGACTGTTGTTGTAAATATCAGTCTTGCCAAGTGAAAAGTGCTCGAAATTAAACTCATTAAGTGAGATTAAGTGTAATTTCTGTCTCGTGAATTGGCTCAGAAATCCTACATTTGTGTTCAGATCTGGACTAATCTGTTTGTAAAGAAAATGTGCCTCTTATCACGTCTCACTTTGCACTCCTAGTATGAATACCTACCTGAATGAAATCCCTACATTCTTTGCATAATATTCACAGGTTGCAAATATGTCCTATAACTTAAAAATTAAATTTTGTCTATATCTAATCTATATGCACATTATATTTGACTTTCAGATGACAGTGCAGAATTTAACCAAGTGAATGGAGCGTTGCTTTCTATATTCAAGATGGATGCAAAGGGTAAGTGCATCTTTTCCTATTGTCAAAAGTCGTTTTTTGTTTACATGTCGCCAGAGGTGTAGAGAATTTTCTTTTTGTTTTGTTTATAATGATCCCCGAGTGACATTTTACATATTAATCACTCAGAAGTGATTATGGATCATTTACTTATCCTTGATCAACTGGCTACATTTGGACTGTATTTACTATAATTTACACATTATCCTCTCCACTATCGTATGCAGGTACTCTCGGAGGCCTGTTTTCTCAGATCCTGCAGGGAGAAGACATTGTGCGGGAAAGAGCAATCAAGTTTCTGTCAGCCAAACTGAAAACCTTGCCAGAGGATGTCATGACAAAAGAGGTGGAGGAGTACGTGTTTGGTGAAACAAAGAAGGTGAAAACGTCATTCCTTTGTGGTTGATGTTCTTAATTGTTATCTGTCAATGAATTCACATAACTGGACTAGAGTCAAGAGTGGGCCTGCCATGTTGGCCATAGTTATTAATGTTGACTGTAGCAAGTCATTCTAAAAATTACTAAATTGCTTTTCAAATTCTCAACCATCAACTTTTCTGTAATTATCAGCCCTAATGAGTTTCTCCCCTTTTTTCCATCTGGCTCAGGTGTTGGAAGATGTGACAGGGGAGGAGTTTGTGCTGTTGATGCGTCTGGTGTCAGGCCTGCGCGTGTCCCAAACGGTGCACGGCCGGCAGCAGCTGGTGGAGTGTGTAGTAGACCAGGCCTTCCTGGATCAGGCGTTAAACCCAGCGGACACTGACACCGTTGACCGTCTGCTGCAGTGCACACGACAGGCTCTTCCTCTCTTCTCTGTGAGTACAACCAGGTCTTTTTTCTAAGTTAGTCTTCTGCTGAAGAAAGACTGTGTTGTTGTCGTCTAAACAGCAGGTACTTTTTGTTGTTGTCGTCTAAACAGCAGGTGCTTGTATAAATCAGAAATACTAATAATTGTTAAACAATATTATTATTAAAACAAATTTCTATTTTTTTTTTCCCTTTAAGAAAAATGTCCATTCCACACGCTTTGTGACCTACTTCTGTGAACATGTGCTCCCCAACCTTAGCTCTCTGACAAGTCCAGTGGCTGAGCTGGACATTCAGCTGGAGGTAAGTTTAGTTCAGCCTGTTCAAACTAATCCACATGCAGAAGATTCAGGCTTTGAGTCCACCTAGTCCCAAATGCCAGGTTGGGTTACTTTATTAGGTGCTCGTCCCTTTGCTGATTGTTGCTGTGCTAACTCCTGATGATACATCCAGCCAAATGTTACTTTGTTTTGCTGCCGATGTTAAGGTCCACTGTTCTAATGTCTAGCATTTGGTGAGCAGTTGTAGCAGTAGTAAATAAAAGTCAGGGTGGCAGCCACCTGTCAGTGGTGTCAGCCAGTGGCATGTTGCTAACGGTCATTAGTCTACACCCCATGGCACCTTTTCTTATTAGCAATGCAAATTACCCTGTGTCTGTGTGTGCGTGTGTAGCTACTGAAGCTGCTGGCTGAGATGAGTCCGTACTGTGGAGACATGGATAAGCTGGAGGCCAATGTCAACATGCTGTTTACTACGCTGCTGGTGAGAACAGATTGACTAAATCTAAAAATGTGTTAGGACAATTTATAATCATGCTCAGATAAAACAGATTTTAACTCTATCTTTGTGTGATAATATAAAGGTGTTATACATTTCTAGTCATTGTTGGGGTTTTTTTAAACACATTTTCTGTTGGTGTAGGACTTCATGCCTCTCCCACCAGAAGAAGCAGAAAATGGGGAGAACTCTTCAAGTGAGGAGCCTAAACTGCAGTTCAGCTACGTGGAGTGTCTTCTCTACAGCTTTCATCAGCTGGGCAAGAAGTTGCCAGACTTCCTCGTTGACAAAGTGGATGCTGAGCGTCTCAAAGATTTCAAGATCAGGTGATGAAGCAACACACAGAAAATACAGGACTAAGTTAATTAAGTTCTCTTCGGTAACAGCTTCTGTAATTCCATGAGCAACTAATGTGACTATTTTTATTTTAAATATTTCTTTTTACCAACAGGTTACAGTACTTTGCCAGAGGCCTGCAGGTTTACATCAGACAGCTGCGTGTCGCTCTTCAAGGAAAAACAGGAGATGCTCTGAAGACAGAAGAGGTGACGCTCACTTTGACATTACATTTTCTTAACTTGTCTGACTGTGTAAAGAGCGATGCTGGGGTTCTTGGATGGTGAAAATAATTTTTTGCTCACTGTCCTGTCTTGAAAAATAATTTCAGTGCAATTTTCCATTTGTCTTTTTCTAAAATCAGAACAAAATCAAAGTGGTGGCCCTGAAGATCACAAACAACATCAACGTCCTCATCAAGGTAAGAAAACAAATGCAGGGATTAATGCAGCCTGATTCAGTTCTGTGCCTCAGTTGGTTTCAGGCTGTATTCTGTCATTAAATGTAGGTTTGTGTGTTTCAATGTGACTTAGACGTCAGTCAGGTCCAGTCTGTTTGCTTCGCCCACTCTCAGATTTGTGTCTTGGTGTAAAGCTCATCTGGGAGTGGTGGGGAAGGAAAACTGAGAAATAAGTCATATAAAAATATTTTAAAAAAAATCCTAACTTGTAGTGAATTTTATATCATCTCAATTATTGCCTCAGGATCTCTTCCACAACCCCCCATCATTCAAGAGCACAGTCACACTATCCTGGAAACCAGTTCAGAAGACAGAAGCTGTAGCGTAAGTCTGCTCCTTCATCGTCTTGGTACGATGTCAATGGCTGTGTTTCTGTCATTAATCTAACCTTGGTTATTATTTATTTTATCTTACAGACCCAAACGTCCATCAGGTGAGGAGTTGCCATCAGGTGTCAGCACAAAAAAACAGATCTCCCCTCTGCCCCGCAGGGATGCACGGCAAATCTACAACCCCCCCAGTGGCAAATACAGCGCCTCCATTGGCAATTTTAACTATGGTGAGCAGCTCTGAGTGGCAACTTTTCCGTGTGGTGAGCAGCTCTGAGTGGCAACTTTTTTGTGCTTTCTTTGTTGTTGTTGCATATTTGTCAGGATTGAAGTATGTTTCTGTACATTTTGTATTGTTTACCTCTTAGTTGTAGGATGTTACATTAACAGAGAACAATAAAAATGTATGCATTTAAAATGGACAACTTATTTAAGATAACATGTGGAAAACTTATTTTAATCATAAACGTGAGTTTTGTTAGCCATTGACATTTAACCCATAAATAAACAGAAACTATTCCTGTTTCTAATGCTTGTGTAATTTGATTTTAATTCAAGAACGTGGCGGCTTCAGGGGCGGTCGAGGACGAGGATTCGGAGCCAGAGGGAACAGAAGCCGAGGCCGAATCTACTAAGATGCACCACACACGCAAAAAGTCATCATTGCTCATTGAACTGCATCACATCAGGGTCTTTTCCACACAAAGTTGGACTTGACGTCTCCCGTTTTTAAATCGTCTCTTTTTCACATCTTGTCCCACAGTGTTTTGTTGTTGTTGTTGATTTTTTTTTTTTTTTTTTTTAAGAATGTGGCCGGGTGTGAGATTCTTGTCTTCAACCTGTCAGAAACCAGGGCTCAAACTTTTCTACCTACATTTACAATTCTGACTTTGTCCCTCTTG